CCCAGGAGCTAGGGAGAAGAAGCAGCTACTTCGGGAGCACATCGACGCTAACGAGGTGGCCTTCTCCGTAGTGGGCGACATCGCTAAAGCTCACCGACGCTACAAACATGCCGAAGGAGAGCATGGCTACCTAGGGTGTCAGATCGACACCGAGGAAGCTACACCGGGGGACCCCGACAGCCAGACGGTTTACGTTAATCTGGTGGGGACCTTCGGGCTATCATGCGCGAGCTACTGGTGGACCCGCATAGCGGCGTGTGGGCTTCGACTCACATACCACCTGCTAGGGCCATCGTTCCCGCTAGACATGCTTCTCTATGCCGACGACCTCGAGTCATTGGGCCGAGGGGCTAGAGGACGCATGGGGATCCCGCTAAGCTATCTCTTCCTCGCTAGTCTTGGGTACCCCTTCAAGTGGGCCAAGACGAGGGGGGGATTTCGGGCGGAGTGGCTAGGCATGGAAACCGAGTACTCCACCTGGAGGCTAGGCCTGTCTCAGAAGAGAACCGACTGGCTAGTGGAATGGCTACGGAAGCTAGTCCGAGATGGGAAGTGTGAGGCCCGGCCCTTCGCACAAGGGCTAGGGCGCCTGGGGTTCGCTTCCATGGCGCTAGACTGGGAGCGCCCCTTCCTGGGACCGCTACACGCCTGCTCTTCGGCCGTTCAGGGGAAGCTGGGGCTCCTCACGCTACCCACGATGATTCGCGTCCTCTGTGGCTGGCTAGCAGACCGCCTGGAAGCGGGGGGGCCGTCTCCAGAAGCCGGCCTCGCTATTGGACGGGGCGGCACCGCTCTCCTTCTACACCGACGCTAAAGCCGAGAATGGACGTGCCTGGATTGGGGGCTTCCTCGAGCTAGTGGACGGCTGCCACGGTCCCTGGTTCTCGCTAGAGGTGAAGAAGGAATGGGCCCCCTGGGCCTTCGTTAAAGGAGACCCGAACAAGGTCATAGCCGCGTTGGAGCTACTGGCTACTCTGGTTGGTGTGAGGCTCTGGGTCCCGGAAGGGGATGCTAAGAAGACCTCCAAGGTGGCCATCCGTGGCTACACTGACAACCAGTCCAACGAAGCGCTACTGAAGAAGGCTATGACGACGAAGTTTCCATCGACCTTGGTGTTGATGGAGCTAGCAGAGGAACTCTCCGCTAAGAACTGTGAGCTTCACCTACAGTGGATCCGCAGGGATCTGAACCAGCTAGCGGACGATCTCACGAACGAGAACTTCGCTAGTTTCTCCCCGGACTTCAGGGTGAACCTGGAGGGGGAGAAGCTAGAGTGGCGCGTGCTGGGCCGTCTCCTCGAACACTCGGCTAGCTACTTCCAGGAGCTAGGAGTGAGGAAAAGGACCAGAGAGCCGAAGGCTCCGAGGTTCGCTAAGAAGGCCCGTAAGCTAGGTCCCTGGTAGCCCTACGGCTGCGCAAGGAGATTAGCTAGCCAAAGGCTATAGAGTTCTTCTCCGGGCTAACGCGGGACTTCGCCACAACGCTAAAAAGAGAGAAGTTCGTGTTGTCCGTGCTACTGCGTGAAGCCGGTTAGCTTTAGCTAGGCTTGCTACGTACTCCCGGAGGTGTAGTGGGAGGGGGCGGGAGGATACGCTAGCTAGTGTACGCACTCGTGCCGAGGGACGAGGTACGACAGTGTATGCTAGCGCCAGTATCCCTTTGGGAAACATCGAAGGTGTTTCGCTAGAAAACGTCGAAGGGGTTTTCCTCTGAAGCTAAACAGAACGAAGCTTGTCTGTTTGCTAGAGTGACTGCACATGGCCGGTGAAGCAGTGCTACTCCGTGGCCATTGTGCTGAAAGGCCCCCAGCTATTGGGGGGCAAATTGCGAGTGCCCACCCAACCCACCCTGGAGATTAGCTAGCCAAAGGCTAGAGTTCTTCTCCGGGCTAACGCGGGACTTCGCCACAACGCTAAAAAGAGAGAAGTTCGTGTTGTCCGTGCTACTGCGTGAAGCCAGCTAGCTTAAGCTAGGCTTGCTACGTACTCCCCGGAGGTGTAGAGGGAGGTGGCGGGGGGATACGCTAGCTCGCCAGAACAACGGCTGCTTGAAAAATTGCGCAAAGCTGGAGTCACGCCGTCTGAATACACGTTCACACGGTTCCAGAGTCCTTGTGCAGTTTATTTGAAAGCCCCCGTGTCTTGGAGTACGCGTTCATCATTCAAGCAAAGAGACCGATGGATGTATGTGGGAAGTACCTCAATTACTATTTCGAAGCGTGAATTCAACCGGCAGTCCAAACTCAAGCAAGTTCTCCGTGAGCAATATGTTCAAGTTGAACCGGCCATTCGTATTTGGGCTTCGCTGGGCAGTTATTTCGACTTTTCTACACTTTGTCTGTCTGTTCATGATGACTACAAACAAGCGTGGGTGCAAGAGCATGTCCTTATTGATCGGTGGCAGCCCAGATTGAATTCACCGTTCATTGACCGTTTCTTCATTAAGTCTGCATTGGGAGTCAAGAGACTCAGGCCACGTCCATCTCTTAAGAATGTTTCATTGTTTTCCAGACTTTGGGTCAAAGTTCGAAGACGTGCTGCATCAACAAGTACTCCGACTCGATGTTTGATGGACAAAAGCCAAGCGTGGTCGCTCTTGTACGATTTGGCATCGTTGACCTCGGCATCTTTCTCTGCTGCGAAAATTGTCAGATCTGCCAAAGTCTCGACGTTAGAGTTGTACGCGATGTTCCGCATGGCCAAGATCATGGAGCAACCTT